GATCAAACATCTCATCTCCTCTAATAACTGATCCGATCAAACATCTCTGATCTGAACAAACTCTTTCTGTGAGTCAGACAGTCAGAGATCAGTAGAGTCCTCAGAGAGATGGACTGAAGCACAGAGACAAAGACCATGGAGTCATTGTAACAGAACAAGGCTTGTAAATTATCACGTCTTATGTCATATGTCTTATGTAGTATGTAATATGTCATATGTAGTATGTAATATGTCATATGTTGTCACAATCAGGCTTTGCCTTCTGTGTTCTGTGTGTTCTGTGTCTTTGTGTTTCTTTCTGTAGCTCCTCACTCTACCTATCAGCCACAGTCTAACTCCCTTCACCTAACCCTGATCACTAATCAAACACTCCCTCATCAGCACAACTCTCCTCACCTGTTCTAGCCACTATTTAAACCCCTGCCTCCCAGTCACCAACTGCCAGATCATTGTTTGTGTTACCCGCCTGTTTGTCGTGTCCTGCGCCCGGTTTCCAACATCTGCCTGCCCTGTCTCGTCCTGCTGGATTTGCCCCCTCGTCTCTTGTCTCGTCCCTGGATTCCCTGTGTGTTCTTGTAGTGTTCACTTTCTAAGTTAAGTGTTTATTAAATTCCATTTCACTCAACTTCTGGTCTGCGTTTGAGTCCACCACCATGCCCCGTGACATATGTAATATGTCATATGATTAGTAGAATAACTTATGTGTCAGTAATAATGTTAATGTGTCAGTAATAATGTTAATGTATCAGTAACAATGTTAATGTATTAGTAATAATGTTAATGTGTCAGTAATAATGTTAGTGTCAGTAATAATGTTAATGTGTCAGTAACAATGTTAATGTGTCAGTAATAATGTTAATGTGTCAGTAACAATGTTAATGTATTAGTAATAATGTTAATGTGTCAGTAATAATGTTAATGTATCAGTAACAAAGTTAATGTATTAGTAATAATGTTAATGTGTCAGTAATAATGTTAGTGTCAGTAATAATGTTAATGTGTCAGTAACAATGTTAATGTGTCAGTAATAATGTTAATGTGTCAGTAACAATGTTAATGTGTCAGTAATAATGTTAATGTGTCAGTAACAATGTTAATGTATTAGTAATAATGTTAATGTGTCAGTAACAATGTTAATGTGTCAGTAATAAAGTAAGTGTGTGGTATTAGTACTTTTAGTTAAAAATCATTATTTAAACACTGCAGATTTTGGTACTTTTACTGTAACAGAGTATCCTGATAGTAAGGTATTAGTACTTGTACTGCAGTGATGTACTTCCTCGCCGTACTGTTAAACTGATTCTTCATTCTCTGTGAGGAATGCACTGAATGATGGAAGAAAGTACGGCAACTCTGCGAGACGTCTGATTGGCCAACTCCCTCAGGGCCTGCCCTATAAGGACTAAAGCGAGGAAGAGAAGGAGGAGGGAGGGAGGGAGGGAGAGAGAGCGGAGGAGGGAGGAGGCAGGAGCCCCAGGCCATGTTTGGGATGGAGGGATGGATGGAGGAGGTGCAGGGTTGATATACTCAGTCGCAGCAATTTGGAGTCTCACTTCTGTCCTGCCCCCCCCCCCCACATCCCACAGGCCCTTCACTACCACGGTAAGACCTCCATCACCTCCTGCTTCACCTCCTTTCGTCTGTGCTCCTCTCTTCTCACTGTAAATGTGACAAACTCTGCAAAATGTGTTCTCCTGTCTCCTCTTTGAACATCTGATCTACTCTTCCTGTCTCACCTCCTCTTCACCTCCTCTTCACCTCCCCTTCCTCTCCTTTAAATATAACTGTGTTAAAAACTTGCATCATGTCGTCTTTTCTTTACTCTCTTAACCAGTCCTCCTTTTCTCCTCTCATTGTGCTGCAGACGAACTGTTGTATCTCGTTTCACCTCCTCTTTAATCCTCCTCTCAATTGAATTGAAGATAGTTGTTTTCTCCTTTGACACCTTCTACTCCTTCATCTCCTCCATTTCCTTTACCGTCTCCTCTCCTCTTTCATCTCCTTTCCTGTCTCCTGTGCTCCTTCACCTCCTCCATCTCCTTTATTGTCTCCTCTCCTCCATCATCTCCTCCTCATCTCCTTTACTGTCTCCTCTGCTCCTCCATCTCCTTTCCTGTCCCCTTTGCTCCTTCGTCTCCTCCATCTCCTTTACTGTCTCCTCTCCTCCTCATCTCCTTTACTGTCTCCCCTGCTCCTCCATCTCCTTTCCTGTCCCCTTTGCTCCTTCATCTCCTCCATCTCCTTTCATGTCACCTTTGCTCCTTCGTCTCCTCCATCTCCTTTCCTGTCACCTTTGCTCGTCTCCTTTCCTGTCCCCTTTGCTCCTTCATCTCCTCCATCTCCTTTCATGTCACCTTTGCTCCTTCGTCTCCTCCATCTCCTTTCCTGTCACCTTTGCTCGTCTCCTTTCCTGTCACCTTTGCTCGTCTCCTTTACTGTCTCCTCTGCTCCTTCATCTCCTTCCATGTCTCCTCTGCTCCTCCATCTTCTTCCCTGTCTCCTGTGTTCCTCTCCTCTCCCACGTGTTGGAGCTTCACAGCAGACTTCACTCTTCTTGTGTGTGTTCTTAGAGACGATGTTTCCTTCCTGTTACTTTAGTCTCTTTATAAACACAAAGACGAGCGTCTCCTCTGGTGAGCTGCTGACGTGTTGACATCTGTCTGTGTTCTGACGTGTTAACATGTCTGTGTTCTGACGTGTTAACATGTCTGTGTTCTGACGTGTT